CAATTTTGCAATAACTATTAAGTGAACTTCTTGAAATTTTTAAAGCAGAATATTTGTAATATTGTCCTTCTTCTCAAGCGAAATAAAAGTTTTTTGTGCATTTATAGAAAAGTTATTAATAATTTTCAAAAAATCGACGTTTGAAGTTATTTTTGCAATAATTCAGCAACAATATAACAAAAATAACTTAACAAACCCTCATTTCAAAGGATTTTCTATGCTTTTTCAGCTTGTTTATTACATATTGTTATCATCAAATTTATCAATAAAATCGATAGACACCTGTATCAACTAGTGTCATGAGAACACTCGTTAATTCGCATGGTCTTTATTTCATTATTGAATAATTGAAGTCGACAACTACTTGCATTAAATGAAATTCCGAATAGCACCGATTATAAAATTGTCCAAGCCATAGATTTAATATTCTAAATTATTAATAATAACATCTCACCGTGATATAAAACAAAATTCCGATAAACACATTATGTCAAAAACAGCGTCACAAGACAGAAAATCAAGTGTTTTAGACGTTAGCTTAAATAGAATACGTGCTATATAAAAAATGTCATAGTAGTTGCCGTGCTGCTTATTTTCTATTAAGTGTTAATTAGTTTTCTTCAACTAAGAGCACAAGTTACCCCTATCCATAGTCATCCATAATCTCCTAAGAAGCACGATCAGAAGTAATCAGCGATTATAAGTGTCAGCAGCTCCAAATAGGCGACAATAGATGTCTGCTAGGGCGGTTTGAGGTGTTGCTGCGACGGTTCTCACTTAAGGCGATTAGGGGCATATAAACATGAAAATGAGTGTCATTGGCGATGAGAGATGGGACTATTCAAAAACCAATCTGCGCGCATCATATTACTAACCACTAATGGCAGTGAGGGCTCGCATTGGGAACTGGAAAATTAAAATACCCAAAGTAATTGATTAATAAAGTATATTCCATATATATATATATATATATATATATATATATAATATATATATATATATATATATATTATATATATATATATATATATTACGTCAAAATATTTAATTGTTATCCGCAAACGTTAATGCTTCTGATTTTGTGCACCTCTTCCTATTTATCTTATCTCTTCTGTTTCCTTCGTTATTTTAATTGTTTTTGAGGCTTTAATATATATTTTGTTATCAGTTCAGTATATTGGTAGTCTACTATGCCCATATTTATTGAGCTTTTAACTGCCCAGTGCTCTACACTATGAAAATTTTTCATGAAGTGGATAGATGCTACAAAAAGTAATTTGGAAATGTGGTTAATATTTGTTAGCTTTGTCAATTAGCATTGTTATTTATATTTATCGAATCTTGTTAAAATTGTATTGGCTATGGGTAGTGGGTAGGAACTCCTTGGATTTCCTTGGACAGTCCTATCAGGGAAAATGAATCAGTCCCTGCCCTCCACAGATTCCAGGTGGTCCCTGACCCGGGGAACTAGTACTTGTTTAGGGTCCCTTGTTCAGGGTTACGGATGAAGACCACAACGGCGGAGAAGGATACCTTCGGTACGACGAGAATGGCGGAAGTGGCGACCCCAGATTTTAGGGCTAGTATAAAGTCAATGTTGACCTGAACGATCGCCGGTATAAGCGATTCCACTCACCTTGCTAACGGTCTCTGGATAGAGGCGGATGAGCATACGTGAGACAGGGCACTCTTTTGTCCTTAGGTGGGAAACTGTCTCTAAAAGGCGGATAAACAAAGGATGTCAAAAGGATCTACTTCAACATTGGAGAAACTGCACACAACAACTATACCCACTATTCTTCTTCTTCCTTGTCTCCTCTTTCTGTAGACCTTTCCCTGTTAATATAGGTTGCAGCAGATTGATAGTATTATATATATATTATATATATATATAATAATATATATATATATATATATATATATATATGATCGTTTCGCTAATAATTGCGACCATTCCGAAAGATCAGCTTATTGAGCCAGCTCCTAAAACTCGTCTTAAAGATAATTCATACAAGAATATACAACAGATGTGAAAGAGACATTAGCCCCACTGAGTTTCGGTTTCAGACAAGGATTTGGTACAAGAGAAGCACTTTATAGCTTAAACTGTTCTACTTCAGTAATCCAGAGATTGGCAAAAGATGTCTTCCTATGCTTTATAGATTACCAGAAAGCCTTCGATTGTGTTAATCATTCAGAATTAGTAAGATTGCTCCAGGACCGTTCGATAGATGAGAATGACCTTAAAATCATAAAGAACCTTTATATGAATCAAGTGGCATGTGTGAGAGTAGGACTGGAATCCTATATCATATTCTCAATCGAAAAAGGTGGTATGACAGGATTGTGTTCTGTCACCCCTCCTTTTTATCTCAACTCTGAAACAATTTTTCGATAGAGCCCTTAGTTACACTGAAGATGGAATCAAAATCAACCGCTATGCTGATGATACAGTCATAATAGCTGATAGCCAAGAAGCGCTACAAGGACTAATAGATAGAATAAACACGGATAGAAGGAGAACGGTTAATTAATATGTAACACTAGCTAAAGACAAAGGTTTTACTTGAACACGAATAAAAAACCTGATATATATATATATATATATATATATATTATATAATATATATATACCTAATGGTTTTGGACAATTTGAAACTAATAAAGGTTGTTTTTAGGTTGAAATAAAATAAATTCATAACATTTTGATTAAAAAGAATATTGTATTTATAGTTTCAATAAAAAAATACTACAACTATTCGAATTTCTTCGCAAGGGGTGGTTTTTATAAGGGTAGAAATAATGTGGTAAAAAATTGAAATAGTAAAGAAATCTAAATTTAATGTCACTGTATTCTAATTCCAAATTGCTTGAATTTACAATTAAATGATTATTTCTAATAGGGGTCGTTGTCACCCCTAAGAAATAAGTAACCAACGGCACAAGTCCAATTTTGAAGTAAAGGTAAGTATAATTTAAATCTAAATTTCCATGCAAATCAGTAGAGACAAGGTATTCAATGGCATTGTTTTAATTATAACTAATCTAGGGGTGAGGCTTAGGGGTTAAACTATGATAAAATCTTAAATTATGTTGTTTAATGTTATTCGACACTTATTACTTCATTAAAAGATGATTTTAATTAATTACCCTCTTTAATTTACAATTATACGACTTTTTTAATAGTTAAAAAATAAAAAGCAATCAACGACATAAGTCCAAAAGTGACATGAAGGGTAAGTAGAACCTAAATTCAAATTTTCATGTAGTTCGGTGGTAATACGAAAAAACACAGAGTATCGCAGTATTTTAACATTAATTTACTTGGCCTGCCAGGAGATAGTATTGTAAAACAAACAATTCAAAGAAAAATGTATTTATTTTATTTTAAAAATAAGACAAATACGTAAACATTTAGCAGACATTAATATATAGTGACTACACTTTGCCAAACATATCAAAATAAAAATTGTGATAAATTTTGCAAAATTTTTGCATAAATTATTTTATTATACATTCATCAATTGGATAACTGGTTTTGTAGATTTTTGTTCCAGATATTGATTTAAGCGACTTGGTTAATGTTGTTGTAGAAAATTGGATAGATCAAGTCATTTATGTTTGTTTATAACTTTTGTTTGGTTGTACGGAGATGATCATTGTCGTAGCTTTAGAAAAATAACTCGGTGGGTCAGTTTTCTATATATACAGCAATCTCTTCTGGCTTGTGGTATTTTTTAAAAATAGGATGTAACTCTTGGTGATTCACCCTTTCTGAATACAACCAAATATAATAATTTGGGATATTTATTTAACCTTTTATTCAGTATGAATACTTCATGAAGTATTTTTTTTGTTTCATTGTACTTTTTTTGTTTGTAGTTTGTAGATCAAAATAAATAACGTATGTTTATTGAAATTGTTTATATTTGTCATCTTCAAATGTCACGCAGTAAATTCAGACTTGAAATCTGTATAAATAAGGGGTCAATTGACTATCATTTATGTAATAAATTTTTTCCTTAAAAACCAACGTTGGGATGTTTCGTGACGTTCTTATCGTCTAAATATCAACTGGCCTATTTATGATGGCTCGTTTCAAACAAACTCTACAGTATAAACCCTGCAAAGCTTTTTTAGTAAACACAACCCTTAAAGACGACACCACTGTAATAAATGACAATTGGGCTCACGCGCATTGTTATCTCCTCCTTTGTGGCCTACAACAATTTGATCCCGGACTAAAGCAGGCAACATAAAATTGCCATGGTCAATTAGGAAGTACACTGTGGATTGGTTTTGACAGTTGTACAACGGAAGATGTCAGACGGTAGCCTTAAATTTTATATTTAATCATTTACAGACATGATTTGCGAGGGCTCAAATAAAAAGAATTATTAGAACGGATTTTATGTTTTATAGCGTTAGGAGTGGATTAACATATTGTTTAAAAGAGATTAATTTTTCGTTTTAATGAGAATTCGGCATCAATAGGGGAAGTATGCCTATGATGGCATACCTAACTTCACCTCTCGTTTTTTTTTATTAAAATACATGATCATATTTGTTACAATTTTTTTCTAGTTCAGTATGAATGTACCAATTAAGCTGGACATATAAAGGTCAAAGGGAATGTGGATTTTTATATTAAAAAATTGAAATATCAGAAATGTCAAGTGTGCCATAATAGGCACATTCCTTGCCTATGATGGCATGGCTGCACAGTATATAAATAGAAAAAAATATGTTTTAGTGAAATTTTCGCATTTTATTCAAAGAGACCAATAATACAACTAATAAAAAAGTAACACAAATTAAAACAATTAAGAACATAAATCACAATAAAATTTCTTACATTTTTATCGACCCCAGCGCATTCAGAGTGACACCAGGATTGGCACTCCCTGACATTTAATCCAGCATTCTTTCGACTTTGAGAGGAATACAGGCCATTACAATACAAGCAAGCGACGTCGGAATCATCATCTTCAAAATTTTCGTTATCGCTCGCGGATTCCTGTTCCTTTCTCATCATTTCTCTCTATCCCTTCTTTTGCCATTCGGTATAATGCTCGTTTTTCAGGAAAAGTGTCATCCACAGATTTCCGTTCTAATCCACTGTTGTACGTAGCTTTTCCTTTAGGTTCTATCTTCTGTTTTATTTGTCGTTTAACTTTGTTTGCCAGTTTTCTTCGTTCTACATTTTCTTTTTCAACAACCTTATCTTTCAATTCTTGAATTTCAGGGGTTGAATTTATTACCCTGTTTTTCCACGCTTCTTTTGTTTTTTTGTGTTTGACTGCGAAACACTTGGAATGGGTGATAAATCTTGGATTGTTATGTGAAGAGTACCGTGAGTATTTCTAGAAAGGACCCGTTGGCAGTCTTTAGGTGGGTCATTTTGTCCACTTTCTAGGTTTTCTTCTTAGATTATAATCTGGATTGTTTAGATGGTTGTTTTTGAGTTCAACGACGCAGGCGGAGGAATTCCACCTCACACATAGACAGGTCACCTCCGAGGAATCTCTCCTCTACCACTCGTTAAATATTTTCCAGGTAGGAACGTGCCGGGACAACAGGTATTTACGAGCCCAGCTCATTCAACCTCACCTGCTCTTGTGGGTGAGGTGAAGAGATGTTAATAATTCAGTGGGTTCAAAGTATTACCAATGCCGAGGTAACTACGACGTCTAAAATAGGAGTTAGAAATTATAAACAGCAAAAAAGAAGAAAACTAGAGTATTTGGGCCACATAACCAGAGAAGAAAAATATGAGCTGCTGAGAATTTATTATGCAAGTAAGGATCCAAGGAAGAAGAAGCATAGGGAAGACGCATCTCCTGGCTGAGGACCTTAAAAAACAGGAACAAATATCGCTGGTATACAGAAAATTTTAGATTTCCGAATGTGTTCACATTCAGGTCCGCTTAAGAAAGCGGAGCTCTATTACAAAACAGCTTTTTGGCGAAGAATTTAAAACATGTTTAGCTTAAAAAAGAAGAAACGCTACAATTTCTTAATGTCTTGCCATAAGTCCGAACAAAAGAAAAACCATCTTTAACAAAATACAAGGATTTAATATTATTATTACCGTTTTTATCAAGTGAATGTCATGCCTTTTATAAGTCTCTGCCTGAAGCGAGCATTTTCCAATTTTTCAGATGTGGAATGAATGGTTAATAAATGAACTAATGATTAAATTTCTTTTATTTCAAAAGCGGAAAACACTTCAAAAGATGTTTAATTACCATAACATATTACAATAGTATCAGAAGCTATAACATTATGTCATGAACCTATGTAAATTAGATGTAAACAACACTTCTTCTTCTTCTTTTGGCATCATAACCCTGGATGGGTCTTTGCCTGTCTGGCTATGTCCTTCCATTCAGATCTCTCTTGTGCCCTTCTTCTCCATTGTCTTATGTTCATTGTTTTCAGGTCGTCTTCCACGTCATCCAACCATCTCGTTCTGGGCCTTCCTTTTTTTCGCCTTCCTATGGGCTTCCATTGTAACATTTTCTTTGTTGTTTTTGCATCGTTTTGTCTCTGCACATGTCCCAGCCATGACAGTCTTTGACTTTTCACAAATCTTACAATGTCATAACCTTCATTTAACTCATTAACCTCGTCGTTTCTCCTGATTCTCCATGTGCCATCTTCCTCTTGTACCGGGCCATATACTTTCCTCAGTATTTTTCTCTCGAATGTCCTGAGTTGGGCTTCATCTTTTTTCGTCATTACCCAAGTTTCACATCCATAGGTTACTACGGGTCTAATCAGTGTTCTGTAGATAGTCATTTTGGTTCTTTTGTCTAATAATTTCGATGTCATCAATCTTTTATTAGCATAGTATGTACGATTCCCGCTGGAAATACGTGCATTAATTTCGCTACTTACGGAGTTCTTCTGATTGATTTCTGTGCCGAGATATGTAAAGGCATCCACTCGTTCGATAGTATAGTTGTCTATTGTGATATTATTTTCATTGTCAGTTATTCTTTTGACTGTCATATACTTCGTTTTTGCTTCGTTTATTTTGAGACCTCTTTTTCTTGCTTCAGGATCAATTTGTTTGAACACTTCCATTAGTCGTGGCTTATTCCTACTAATGATGGCTACATCGTCTGCATATGCAGTAATTTGTACTGATTTGGTGTTTATATGGCCGGTTATATTGGTTTTTCTGATGACTGCCTCAAGAACTAGGTTGAATAGCATGGTTGATAGGGCATCTCCCTGTCTTACTCCCATGTTGATGTTAAACAGGGGAGTCAGTTCTCCATCTACTCTGACTGCGGCTTTTGAACCCTGCAACGTCATTTTTATGAGGCTGATGTATTTCTTAGGTATACCTAGATTACAAAGGTCTTCCAGCATTCTGTCTCTTTTCACACTATCAAAAGCTTGTTTAAAGTCTATATACATATTATATAGGTCTATGTCGTATTCATAAGCTTTTTCTTGTATCGTTCTTAGTATGAATATGTTATCTGTAGTGGCTCTATTTGGTCTGAATCCATTTTGATAATCACCAATTATATTTTCGGAGTATTCTAATAATCTATTGTAGATTATACCAGAAAGAATTTTGTATATTACATTTAGCAATGTAATTGGCCTATAATTCTGGCATTCCCTCTTATCTCCTTTTTTATATATTGGCTGTATGAGGCCAACTGTCCATTCCTCTGGCATTTGCTCCTTCGTCCATATTAATGTTATTAGGTAATGGATTCTTTCCCAGAGTACGGATCCTCCATGCTTTAATAATTCTGCCGAAATTCCGTCCGTTCCTGGTGCTTTATTGTTTTTTTAGTTTATTTATTATCTGAACTACTTCTTCATAACTCGGATTTTTCGATGTGCAGCTCCGCCGTACAATAT